ATGAATTTGACCAAACTCCAGGAGGCTGTGGAAGACAGGAGGGCCTGGCGTGCTCTGGTCCATGGGGTCACGAAGAGTCAGACACGACTAAACGACTAAACAACAACAAAGCTGTGTTGATCTCTTTTTTCCCCTGCAACGGATTAATGCAGTGATGCCCAGGATCGCCTGAATGGTGTCCCTTGAAAACCATATATTTCCACCTTCTAACCTGCCATGTATACTTTGGCCTTCAGGAAAGGCCCCCAAAGGTTATGGCCTTTCCCCAAAAGCGCCCCTGTAGCACAGCAGTCTGGAAGACAGCAGGAGCTCTACTCCAGAAAAGCAAGGTTTCTAAGCTCCGATTGTTACTTCCTCGCATGCTTTTTCAACCTCACCCAAGGCTGCCTAACACCCACTCCCAAATGCCACTTCCCCCTCTTGCGCCTACAACTCAGTCTCTCACGCTGTCCTTCGCCCCCCCATGCTGTTTTCAACGGGCACCTTTGGTTCCCAGCACCTGGAACGTCTAGCAATCCCAGTGCGAAATCCTGCACTCTCCATCAGCTTCTTGGCGTAAGGCCCCTTGGCGCAGTGTTGGTCCCACCTCTCCAGAGCTGATAAACTCTGGGCGAGAGAAGCAGGGAGTATGAAAGCACATGTTCGCTTCGCTTGCCAACCCGCCGTGTTTGGGGACTGGCACACCTCGCCGTGACACGATAAACATCCAAAGCAGGACAGAGGGGCGTCGGGGCCAGGAATTTGCCAGCTAAGATCCACAGAAAAAAAACAAGACTCCCCCGGGGGGGGGGGAGAGGTTTGCACGTTCAAGAACAGGCCCTTTTGCAGACGGTTTGCTTTACACCCAAAGACCGATTGGGCGACTTCAGTTTTCAGGCAGGCATGTGGAGGGAAGTGGAGGCCAGGTCTGATGGATGCTAGAACTGCTGTTTTCTTTCTACCTAGTGTATAATTAAACCTGTCAAAAAGAACTCAGCAACAGACGATGTTATTGAGGTAAATAGCGGAGAAACGGACCAAAAAAAAATGGACGAGGTTGCTTGGTGCATAAAGAACAGCGAGCGTGGCCGCCGCAAGAAGCGGCCGGATGCGCTGGGCAGTCAACGGGCCCACAAGCTGCGGAGGAGGTGAGAGGGGTCAGCCCTCCACCCCCGACAGGAGACGCCCCACCTGCTCACCAACGCATGGGATGGACGGGTGCATGCCTGTGAGCCGGCCTCCCTCTAAACCACAGAGCTCTTGGCACAGCATGAATACCGCCCCCCGCCTGCTCTCTGCTGCATTATAGACACACACACACACGCACCGGAAGTTGCAAATGGTGAAAATGTGTAGGCAAAGATGAGGAGACGGGCTGTTTTTCTAGAGTGAGGCCAGGATCAAAGAAGCTGCAGGAGGGCCCCACGCGCCCCACGCACTCCCCGAGGGCCAGAACTCTCGTGGGGGGCTTCCCGAGGCAGCAGCTCTCTAAGCCGGGAGAGTGTGAGATGGATGCCAGCTGAGGACACCCGACTCAAGAAGAGGGCAGCCAGGAGTAGGAGCCCTTACCTCCATGGGCTTGTCCACCCGCCGCCGCAGAGCGCGCAACCAGTGCGCCATCCCTGAGTAATGGCACATGTGTGGTGGCAGGAAAGGGACCTTCTTGCTCAGCTCCTTATTGACCAGGGAGAGCTCCCTGTTGAACAGCATGTAGATGTCGACCGTCTTCTTATCGTAGGTGCGTTTAATGGCCTGCGGGAGAGGAAGGGAGGCCTGGTGGGAAGAGCCCTCTGCGCTAAGGAGCACGGAGCTGCCGGGTCTTTTTGCCCCCACTGGAATAAAGCCTGGCCCCCCAACCCCGAATGTCCGGATCTCCACACAGCTCCTTCCCCTCTGCCACAGGGTCTTCTTCTGAACACTCCCACGGGCAGGATCGGGCAGACCTCTGGGGCTGGTGCCGGCAGGGCTCAAGACGGTGGTGGCCTTCGCAGGGTAAACTCCTGGCTCAAGCAACGGAGTTCATGCCACGCTCCGTGAACGCAAAACTCCGCTTCCAGGTGGCGGAGAATGTCACCCCGTGGCGGCGGTGCCGCAAACACGGGGGTCGCGCTCAAGAGGGTAGCCCTCCCCTCCCCTTCTCCGCCGGCCCCGGGACCGAGGGCTGCCTTGCATGCTGCCGAGGGGCGTCCACCGGCTCGTTCCTACCTCTCGGGACGACAAATGGTGGAAGATGTCCTGGATCTCCACCCCGTGCTCCACATCCTTGACGGTCTCGAAGGCGGAAGACATCAAGTTCTGGGTCATCACCTCCAGGTCTTTGACGCCAGCCCGGAAGCTGGTGCCCCCCACAGGGATTGGCAGCAAAAAAAAAGGGGGGGGGGAAACAAGCCAGATGAAATGGAGCAAGCAGACAGGGAGTTCCCCAGGAATGCTCTCAGCCAAAACGGCCCTCCTTTCTACGGGCTGAAGCGAGAACCTAAGGGAAGGCTCGCCTCGCTTCTCTGCCTCCTGCTCTCCCAAACCGGCTCTCTTACCGGTTGAAGTCCTCGTGCCAGGAGGTGTTCTTCACATCCAGGATCCCGCCCTTGACGTTCCAGAGGTTCTTGAGATACTTGTTAAAGGTCTCCTTGATTTCCAGCAAGCTCCTGGCCATCTCAGGCCCCCGCTGGCCAAAGAAGCAGGGCAGGGGCGTCTTCTTGCCGTCTTCCCAGCCCGCAAAGTGCTGCTGGCTGTCACAGACCTGTGGAGCAAAAAACGGACGAGGGGACCTGAGCTGTTGTGTGGCCCCTGAAGATCCTCCTTAGTTTTCAATGTCACTTCAGAGTGCTCTCTCTCTCTCTCTCTCCCGGATGAGGCAGGTCCCTCCTCTGCCACGAGGCTCAAGGCAGGCCTCATCCCAGCTGTGCACGTATCCCCCCCCATGTGGACCTTTGGAAATCAACCCGAGCCCAACCAGAGAAGACATCTGCGGGGCCAGGCCTTCGGGCCACCTACCTCCAGGAGATCCTTGCAGCGCTGGACAAAAGCATCCACTTGTGCAAAGATGCTGGTCTGGTCCAGGACCCAGCCCTTCCCAGAGAGCCTGTTGGGGAGGCACACCGTTAAAAGAGCTTTCCAGCTGGGCCGCCACAAACATGCTGAAGGGTCTTTTGTTGTTGTTTAGTCGTGTCCGGCTGTTCGTGACCGGGCCGCCATGGGCGGGCCCATAGCCTCTTGCCACAAACACGCCGAAGGGTCTTTTGTTGCTGTTTAGTCGTGTCCGGCTCTTCGTGACCCCATGGACCAGAGAGCACGCCAGGCCCTCCTGTCTCCCACTGCCTCCCGGAGTTGGGTCAAATTCATGTTGGTCGCTTCGCAGACACTGTCCAGCCATCTCGTCCTCTGTTGCCCCCTTCTCCTCTTGCCTTCACACTTTCCCAACAGCAAAGGGTCTTAGTGGTGCCCGAAAGACTCACAGGTCTTATTTCGGCCCAGGCTTCCACAGAACGTCCACAAAGCCCCGACGGCCAAGAAAAGGCATCAATCTTTCAGGCACCATAGGAGTCTTCTGTTATTTGGTTCCCAACCGCTAAGAAGGCTAGGACCCACACCCACACCGCATGCTGGGCAGGGGGTCCTCACCCTAGCTCAACCTGAGGGGTAGACAATATCCGGGGACAACCCACTGTCAGAAAAAAACAGATACCAATGACCCAACGGGCATCCGATCCTTGAAAAAGCCAGCAAACATTTGGGGGGGGGGGAAGGACACGGACCGGCCCCTCTGTGTCTGCATCCTTCACTCTCCCCGGCCCCCACCCCATCCCACGTGGGCACAAGGGGGCTCTGAAGAAACCACCTAATCAAGGAGCGAGGCCGCCTCGCCCCGGGAGCAGGGCTTGAGTGCCTAATCCTGGCCAGGCGGAGGCTGCCTTCCATCAGAGCTGCCTGCCTCTGAAGTCTTTATGTATTTTTTTTATGATATTGATCCAGCCCTGCTAATTTGAATTTGAAGCAGACAAGGAACACTTAGACCTAATTGTCAAGGACCCAGCACCCACTTAAAACGTGACATCCCTAATCATAATGATGGATTATGATGCATTATTTCTGGAGTAGGGCTTGGAGAATCGGGGGGGGGGGAACAGAAGAAAGGGCCGGGGCTGGCAAGGATCAGCTGAAATCAGGAGCTGGACAAAGGGCAGGCAGGAGGGCTCTGAAGGCAGGGCCCGGGAGGTCCATGAGGGGAAAAACCGAGGGCCGGAACAAGAGCAAAACTGCCTGGGAGGGCCAAGTTGGAGGCGGCTGGGGACTGGCTTATGTTTCCTGGGGTGTGCGCTCTTGGCTTTTGCCTGCATGTACATGTGTGCGCACGCGCACCCCCCCATCTGTTGGCCCCACCCGTGGGCCCCTTACTTGTTGTGCATGTAGGCGGCATGCTGGTAGCAGTCCTTCCAAGACGACATGCAGGAGATGCAGCCATGGAGCGTCTGCCGGGAGGCGTTGACGTAACCCTCAAACAGCCGGTCCAGCGAGATGTCCTTGCAACACATCTGGATGATTTTGTTGCTCATCTGCACAGATGGTAAAAGAGGCCGTCCCAGTCACCCCCTTCTTTTAGTTTTGGGAGGCCAAAGCAACATTGCCCACAGAGCGATCTTGCCCCCAAAAAAGGCCAAAAGTAGGTCCGACCCATTACGTTTTCCTGCCCGCAGCAAAACCTTTTGCTCTTTTTCTCCCCCCCCCCCCCAAACCCTGCCTGGGCCACCCTCCAGCACCCAGGTCTTTTGGCACCAGAGGCTGAAAATTCTCCAGGCCGTTGAGTTAAAAAGGACATTAAGATTAAACCGCTCGCCACAGGGTCCATTTTCACAGCTCCTAAAATAAAGCTGCCCCCAGCAGTCCAACCGCTCGCCACGGGGTCCATTTTCACGACTCCTAAAATAAAGCTGCCCCCAGCAGTCCCGACGCTCTCTGGAGGCGGCCAGTCCTCCCCGATTTCCCCATCTAGATCCTCCCAGAAACTACAAGGGAAGCCCTTCCAGAAGTCTTCCACCTTCAAAAGACCCGCGGGGGGGGGGGGGGAGTGGATTATGGAAAGGGTCTTTTGAGTGGTGGCACCCCAATTCTGAAAACACCTTCCCACCCCCCACAAACAGACTTACCGGACCCTTATCACTTGATTAACAGGCAGACATTTAATTTTCCAAGGCTTTTAATGGAAGGGGGGCCACCGCCTTCCTTAATGCCATTGGCTGATCTGATATACATTCAAGACTGCTTTTGACAATATGGGTTTTTTGATCTTTTACGCTCTGATCGGTAATCCAAGCCCGTTGTTTCAAAAGACATGGGGTGCTGCTTTCGACCAGAAAGGGCAGTTGGGCAACGTGTTCAAGGAAAGGAAGGAATGCATCATGCAACCCCTGGGGGGGGGGAATGGACACCCACGTGCAGGCCTCACCTTCCGAAAGAGGGCTGTGATCCTCTCCCTGCTGTTGTAGTACGGGGAGTTGACCCACACGATGCGGACGAGGCTGATGAGGTGTGGCAGCTTTTCGGGGATGTCCTTGGGCCGCAGGGTGGCCAGCTCTTGGAATGGCTCCTTCAGGATGGAGAGGAACCGGAGGTTGGACTGCGCCTGCTCCGAGCCGTCCTACAACACACGCGGAGGCAAAGGGCTGAGAGTAAAACGACCCGACCCAGAGCGCCGGCAGGGCTTTTCCCAGAGGGAGGGCCAAAGCGGCTGGCACCCTTTTCCCAACCCACGCCGTAACCCGTTAAACTAATGAAGACATTGTGGATTTGAGGTGGGACACCCCAACCCCCAGGGAGAGATCCATGCGTCTTAGATTAGGCCTCCTTCAGTCTCGAGAGACTATGGTAACGTGGTCTGTGTGGAGGCCTTGGAACAGCGTCTAGTGTGGCTGAGGAGGCCAATTCGAGAGTGACACAATCCCTTCCAGACTTAGGACAAATACAATCTCTCCCGTGTCCAGCTCCCTGATTTTGCTACTTCCGGAACTGCCTCTTTGCCTCGGCCTGCTGGACAAGGGTCTCTTCAAATTGGGAGAGGCCGTGATGCACCACCTGCCTCCAGGCTGAACACTCAGAGGTCAGGGTTTCCCATCTGTTGAGATCCATTCCTAAGGCCTTCAGATCCCACTTGTAGATCTCTTTGGATCGCAGCTGTGATCTCCCTCTGGGGCGATTTCCCTGCACTCATTCTCCACCCAGGAGATCTTTCTGAATCCAGCCATCAGCCGTTCTCACGACATGCCCCAGCCAACGTAGACAGTGGGGCTTTTCTAACCAAAGCCGCAAATCCCATCAACCCCTTGACCCAACAGCACCCCGGAAGGTTCTGTTTCAGAGAGAATCTGAGACCCATCTTCCAGGGTCAGTTCCCTCCCTGCGCCCACCTGGATCTGTTTGGCGAGCCGCTGGAACGGGGCGACGTAGGAGGACTTGGAGAGGGCCAGGATGGCCTCGATGTGCTTGACCCCCGGCTGGCACAGCTGCTTGCTGATTTCAGAGAGGTCCGTGCAGCGGTTCCTCCAGAACTGGATCTCCTCCAGTGGACCCGAGCTCTCTCTGCTCTCGACGGCCTCTTGAGCCCTCAGCACTTCTTTGATCTGCCGGGTCCAGTGGATCATGGAAGCTGCAACGACAATCAAGACGGTCTCCTTCTCTGCCTTCGTCCCATGGCGCCGATTACGAGGCTGACGGGACGGGCAGCTCTCCCCACCTCTGGAGGGCCACGCATTCGTTCGGAGAAGCTCCGAGAAAACTCATCCCCCTCCACACCCTGTCTCGCAGTTAACCCTCACCCAAGGTGTGTGTGTGGGGGAAATATATATATATATATCCCGGACTAATTAACAGAACTAAATTGAGGCGAGAGACTTTTCGGGGGATATTCGGAGAAGACAAGGGTAGGAAAAGAGGAAGCCTTCGGGTGAGATGGAGTGAGCGCCTCAAGGAAGCCACAGCCGCCTTCGGTTTGCAAGATTTGTGCTGGGCTGTTAATGAGAGCCACCTCTTGGAAATCACAAACTCACAGGGTTGCCATCTGTCAGAGACAACGTGACACCATATAATAAAGGGAATGGGGCAGTTACAGCTAGTTCTGGTACATCACTGTGTTGCACCGTCAACCAAGAGAGAGAGCAAGGAGCATCATTCAGAAGACGGCTCCTCTGGAAGGGTTCACATGCTGAGATGTTGCACAAACCCCTGACATGTCTCAGTTCCTGTAAGGCGCAGAAAAGAGACGAGGTGAGTCGGGACCGAGGCCACGTCCACCCCTGTCCTGGACGGACTATTGACCCATGTCACTGCTAACAGAGCCATCTTCCCAGCAGCATCAGTCTTTTTCCTTCTCTGGAAGGTATGAAAGGATTCTGGCTCTGTCGTCACCTGGCTTTGCTGAAGACAAGCTGCACCGGGCAGAGAAAAAAAATGGGGAAATATAAGCCTTCGCAAAGAGTTAGCATGACCCGTACTGAAGTAAGGCATGCTGGATAGCTCAGGGGTGGAAGAGGTCTCTGGCTGCGGAGCCTGAGAGGTTGGGAGTTCGATTCCCCCCCCCGGGGGGGGCTCCTGGGCAGGGGCTGGACTGGATGACCCCACAGGGTCCCTTCCATCACCGTGGTTCGGTTCTGATTGATTGTCCTTTGGGAGAGGAGGGGGAAAATCCCTTCAGGACTGGGCGATGCCACCCGCCTTTGCCCCACATGAACACATGCCCGTTTGGAGCATCGGAGCGCTCCCGAGGCTTTTAGGCCAGAACCCCGTCTGGCTCTCCTGTACCTCGGCGTGGAACGCAACTCCTTCTTTGGTGATTCTATATTCAAGGCACCGCGAGCCGGCCCGAAACACGTCGTCATCCTTGCTTTTTAATAGGGGACTTCAGCAGAGGTGTCTGGGGCGGGCGCAGAAATTGCCTTCTGCTTTGTAGCCTGTTGTCGGATGGGGTCTGAACGCCTCCCCCTCCGAGCACACGGCGAGGGGAAGCTATAAGGAGGAGGAGGCTCAGCAGGCCTGAAGCACCAAGTGGGGGGGGGTTCTTAGGCTGCAGTGTGCCCTCCACCCCCACCCCTGCTGCAGGATCTGGCTGGCTCCCACATCGGTCATGACAAAGTGAGCTCTCTCTCTCTCTCACACACACACACACACACCGGTTCTTGGAATGGAAGAAGCTAGTAGCTACGGAGCAGCCACCTAGGAAGAGTTAGTATCACAGCGTGGCGCCTGCAGTCCCTGTGCCAAATTACAGGGGTAAGACAATCACGCAGCCCGGGGATTAGAATAGCCAAGGATCTCTAAGTGCTTGATAACAGCTGAGGTTTTAGTCACACAAGAGACAACCCCCCGAGGTAGCCAATTGGATGCTTAACCCAAGCATGCATTGCCATGCAAAATACCCAGCCATGGGGAGAGTTTAATGCGCCCCGGCACATGGCAGGCTGGGCGCCGCCAACCGCACAGGGCTCTCATTATGGGACAATCATGTGCATTTCAAATCCTCCATCTGGATTCAGCAGTGGGAGATTTCTTCCAAGCGAATCTAAACTTTCAAGCAAGAAGCTCTTTACCACTTCTCTGTGTGAGTGAGTGAGCGAGTGTGTGCACTTTTCGGGTTTCTTAAATTCCTCTCCTCCAATCTGGGCACCAAACAAGAAGCAGGCCAAGCAAGCGCGATGGCTAACCCAGAGGAGGCGGTACAGAAACCAGCAAAAGTGGAGAGCCAAACCAGCTGGTGCCTGTTTTCCCCGCTCTCTCCTCCATCTTAGAACAAAGCCCGGCCACACCGAAGAGCTGCTGCATTCAATCCAGGAAAAACGGGTCAATTAATACCTGTTGCTACTAAGAGCCTTTTTATTTCTCCCTGCTATTGTACAAGCCCGGAGTTAACAGCCATTAGTGCACAGGCCACGGGCCAGGTAGAAGGAACAAGGGGTTCCCTCTGCCGGGCCGGGCAGAAAAGCCAAGGCGAGAAAACCCCCCACGTTGACTCGGGCGGCTTCCAGGGCCAGAGGGCGGCAAAGGCGAGGCTGCAGCCCATGGGCAACGCGGTGGGGAAGGACAACCGAGCCCAGGCGAGAGAAACGGGATGGAGAGCAGCCTTCCCCCCCCCTTTGACCCCGTGGGAGGGACATGAAACATTCTCAGGGTTCAATTTTGCAGCATTGGGTCTGCCTGGGTTTTAAAGCAGGGGGTCCGGGGGGGGCAAGACGGCAAGGCTGTCCCCATCAGGCTCTCTCTCACCTTGGGTCCCGGATACCATTTCCAGGAGGATGAAAAGGACAGAGCATCACACACACCCCACCGAGCCACACCTCCCTCCCAGGCTTCGCTTCATTATGCCTAATAGAGAGACAATGTGCAGCATCATGCAGTCAACATCTCTTCCCCCCCCTTGTCCGTACGCGAGGGGCTCAATTGAATTTGCACCAGTCGGAACAAATGAGCGGCGGCTGCTCCAGATCTCAGGGCGATTTCTTTCTGATTTGCCCCTCTCTGTTTTTTGCTGGATTTTTTTCCCTGCAGGGCAGTTATGGATGTGGGGAGGTGGTGGTGGGCTTTGGGAGAGAAACAAGGAGATGTTCCCCCCCCACCCCTAG